ATTAATGTAAAAGTTAACAATTTCCCCATAAATAACGGTGGATGGCTAAAAGAAAGTAAATCGATTTGATTATTTTATTTTTAAATCTAAAACAATAAAAAAATAGATTTAATTTAATTTTCTCAAAATATATATAAATCACTTAAGAAAAAAGTGATTTTATGTGACCCTGAACTTGGTAGACCCTTACACAGAGACGTTGTATATTAAGACACGTATTATTAACTCAAATTGTAACTTTTAAGTGTACCAAATACTAGACAAACTCCGAATTTTATAATTAATTTTAATTTGAACTAAAATGTTAAACTCTAAAAAAATAAGCATAAATTCATTATTTTAATACTTTTATCTTTTATTTATTTTTACTTTAAATTATAAAGATTACATGTTTTGTGTTTTTAAATTTATACAAAAATGAATGACAATAATTTTTTTCGTTGCTTTCATTATTTCTTAAACAAATATTTAAAATAAGAGATAAAATTAAAAAGAAAGAAAATAATAACAGCATCGATCATGTGGGGTGACAGATTGACGCAAGTCTTGAGCAAGAAACTATCCGCCATTAATGGCAAATTGAGAGAATAATATGTTAACATCTCATTTTCGTTTTCATAGTCTTCTTCAATTATGTTGATAATGAAACAACGACTTTGACATGAATTAATGTATTCTACTTGTATTAATTTTCTGTTCTCAACTTTTTTTACACATTCAATGTTCTATATACACTTCAATTAATGCATGTAAAAATCAAACAAATTTTAAGTTTCTTTTCCTATATTTGAATTATTAATTTTACTGAAAATGTAAAAGAGATAAATAAAGACTTCCCAGAGACTCAAAGAAAATTCATTTAAACTCTAAATAAATATTCTGAAAATAAACATTTTTTTTAAATATCACTTAAAGAAACAAATATAAATTATACACTGAAACGAAAACTGCTTATTTTTAAAATAAACAAATAAATAAAAGAAATGTCAAACTGCTTATTTAAGTTAAAAAAAAAACAAACTAAAAAAACAATTTTAAATTATAAAAAAATTGTATAAATATAAACCTAAAAGGACAACTGAAAAAAGAAAAATCCGACTAGACCTATTAGTTTATTTATGTATAGATTTATTCACATATTATTAGCGGAGACAGGTGTTCATGCGTATTTTTTATTATGTATTTTTATTTTATGAATTAAAAATTAATATAAATTAATTTTAAAATTCAATTATTTTTGTTTAAAATTCTGTATTATCAAAGAAAAATAAATGTGGAAGAAAAATTTTTAAAAATAGAAAAAAAAACGTTAAACTAAAAAAGGAAATGAGAAATAATTGTTTTTTATCAATTTTAAATTTGAGAAAAATCATTTAAATTATTAATTTTTTATATAAAATATAAAACAGTTTATAAAAAAGTCCTTTTATATAAGGGTCTACTGTTTTTTTTTTAAGTAAAAAAGTTTGCTCTGGCAAGTAAATGATTTATTTAAAATAGTCAATTATAGAATTAAAAAAAAAAGTTAAGATAATTTAATGAATAAGTTATGTCTTAAAAAAAAACAATTAATATATTACTCAGGATAACTAAACCTAAATTATTCTTTTACCGGCTCTCGGTACTTTTATCATTAAATTGATGATATGAAAAATTCAAAATTTTAGACTTGTTTTATGCACCCATTCACTCTTTCTAAAAGTAAAAATGTGGATAAAAATTATATTAAAAAATAAAGTTAAAAGTTTTTATTATGCAATCTTAGAAAAATTTATGTTTTTAAAAAATTAAATATATAACTTCTTATCTAATTTAAAATTAGACCATGTAATATTGTAGCCACTAATTATCTTTCTCAAAAATATATCAACTCTTTGTTTTTAATATAATGACAACGCTTTTGTTCCTCACTCACTCAAATATTGTTATTCACTCACCATATCCTCCCTCCCTACAAATTATTATCAATGTGATAACTAAATTCACCTGTTTACTAAAAACAAAATAAAAGGAAAAAAAAAATCTTTTAAGTGAGTTTCAATAATTTATTTCATGACTTTTACTTTCTTACAAATTATTATCAATGTGATAACTAATTTCACTTGTTTAGTAAAAATAAAATAAAAAAACTATTTAAGTGAGTTTCAAGAATTTATTTCATGACTTTTACTTCCTTCTTGTGGATAATTAGTATCGATATTAAAATTAGCATGATTTTAATTTATTATTTCTATTTTTTTCTTCGTTTATTAAGGATTAAAAATAGAATAATTGTTCGTTAGTCCATTTTTTTAACTTATATATTAAAATAAAAATAATATAATTTAAAATATTATATTTTAAAAATATATAAATATATTATAATTTAAATTATAAATATTAATCAATTAAATTTAAATTATTAATTATAATTAAATATTTTTGATATATAAATATAATAAAATTTTCAATTTATCTGATAAAAATATTAATAAAAGTATAAAAATAAAAAAATTATTTATATAATTAAAAATTTATTTTAATATATATGTATATATATATATACATATATAAATATAATTTTATATATTTAAAAAATTATAAACTAACTTACTAACTTATCGGTGTATACCTTGTCTTAACTATCTAATTATATAGGTCTTATTTCGTTTTTTAAAAAGAAAAAAAATGTGGCCAGGTTAATTTTATGCTTTGAAGATAATCAGAACTTAGTTTGATAAAATAGCGGGGCATAAAAGTAAAATATGGAAGCTCAATCCGTAATGTAACTTTGCCATTTCCAATCTATCAAATGTATAGTTTTTCTCAATCACCAATTATTCAGAAGTAATTTCCAACTTAATAATAATAATAATAATAAAAAGCTTTTTTGTTTAGTCACCTTATTTCTCCCACATAAAATGTTATATTCTCACAAAAATTAAACTTATTTTCTCCAATTATTTTGATGTCATTCTTCGATATAAAAGCTTGGGCATGGCTGAACTTTTGGTTCAAGACTTTCTTGACTTCATTTGAAGTGAAAAAAAAGAAAGAACATGGAAAGCCCCACCAGTAACGTGTCTGAATTCTCAAGTTTAAAAAGACACAGGAAAGTGGAGGTTTAGTACTGGTAAATGTGCTGCATATTCTCGATCGTTGATCCTTTCAACCATTCTCATTCTAATTTTCATTTTCATGAAATGCAAAATCGACTAATAACTCATAATTTATATTTCAATCATTTCCTTTGGTTTAATATTCTACAAACAAATTTTCTATTATTCAATGATAAATGGAATCAATAAACGAAATACTATTTAAGAATTGAATATATATAAAATAATATATAATAATTTACATATTTATTTTATTATATATAAGTAATTTTGTTTTTTTTAAATAATTCTGATTATGAGATTTATATTAAAACAATATATTTTATTTTTAAGACAGATGTGCTAAGACTGAATGAATGGACAAATATTTTGTTTAATTTAATAGTAGTAATTTGCATTAAATGATGAACCGCTTGGTGACGAGTTGATTAATAGGAAATTTGACTTTGTTGAATAGAACACAACGCATTATATAACGGAAGTAAAAGCTTTCCAGATACTTTGGTTGGAATAAGCAAACGCGTCTCTCTATTGGCGTGGCCCCATTTATTGTAATTAAAAAAAAAAGAGAGTAGATGCTAACAAAAATTAAATCGTTTATTCTCATTATTGTAGGTTTATTACAACAAATAAACACTTTTTTGTTGTTATAAATAAAATTATTAAAATTAACTCTAAAACTAAAATTTGAAATATTTAGGGAGAAAAAAGGTCGGTTTTTATGTAAATTAAAATAATTGTCATTTTTAAAAATAATTTTTAATTAATTATATAAAATGAAGACATAGTAATTTAAATGTAAAATATGAAAAAACAAGAGAAAAAGCGAGCGCCAAGAAAAAGCAATGGGTGAGGCAAACAAACGGAAAAAAGTGTGTTGAGTTGTGTGTGTTTGTTCGGAAAGCGCTTACACAGAGGGAGTCGAATTTGTTTTTTTAAAATTAATTAATTAATTGAGAAAGGGTTCCATGCCTTTTCAACGCACACCATTCTGATTCTTCCTTCCTTTGCCCTAGATCTTTCTCTCTAAATCATTAGATTTCATTTACCGTAATCCATCTCCTCCAGTTTTCTCGCTCAACTCCACCATTTCAGGTACTTCTCTCATTGCTTCCTCTCTCTCCCTCTTTTTGATTTCAAATTATATCGTGGCTTAATTTATTAAGCGTGAAGAGACGACACACAGGAAACAATTTTTTTTTGTTTTTTTTTTTTGTTTTAAATAAATTAGGTGAGATTATTTAGTGTCTTGCAAGTTATTTTTGTTACACACTCCGTGTTACCGAGCAGGGGTTAGAATATCTTTTTGATTTTGACCCCTTGGTCGGTGGCTTCGACCGCTGTTTGAATTTAAACTGAAGTTCCTGTTCATTGAATAATTAAGTTTGCTTCATCTTTTGCTGAATAGTATGGTTGTTTTAGCTGTTGGGATACTCCGAAACATCTAATAGGTTGGTCCCTCTCATTTCTTGCCGGCCAAATTTTTGAATACTCTGTAGCATGAGTAATTAATTGCTTGAGTTTTTGCATGTTTCTAACAGTTTATTTTTTATTTTTTTATCTTCCGCAACATTCGTCCTTGTTCCTTAGTGATGCGAAATATTTAGTAAAATTAGAAGAAAGATTAGGTGGATGATGCGTTTTCGTCTATCTTTATCTCTCTTTTGATGATGTCTTGAGGGTTGTTATTCATTTGCTAGGTGGGTTTCGGTGAAGAGTTGAGTGGATAAAAAGGGTGACTTTTTCTTGCTCGCTAATACACTCATTTTGTTTTCAGATTTTTCTGCACCAATCTGTCAGTTAATTTCAGGGTATAGGTCCTTGGTTTTTGTGGGTTTGAGTGAGGGTGCATGTGGATAAAACAGATTTGCTGTAGGTGAAAACTGTGATGCATTTGCGTAGATGAAGGCAGAAAAAGGTTGGCGTTTAGGCAGCATGGGTGATATGCAGATACTGCCTGGGTCTCGCCACCGTCCTCCCCTGAAGAAGCCAATGTGGATTATTATCTTGGTATTGTTTGTGTGTGTCTTTCTAATCTGTGCTTATATCTACCCACCCAAAAGCAGTTCGGCCTGCTATGTCTTTTCTTCCAGAGGGTGCAAGAGTTTTGTTGATTGGCTTCCACCTATGCCTGCAAGAGAATACACTGATGAGGAGATTGCATCACGTGTTGTGATTAAGGATATTTTGAACTCACCGGCAATTATTTCAAGAAAATCAAAAGTTGCATTCATGTTTTTGTCACCTGGCTCTCTGCCATTCGAAAAATTGTGGGACAAGTTTTTCCAAGTAAGAATTTGTTACCTGTCTAATCTTTATGTTCAAGCCGTTGTTTATGAATTCTCACTCTGGAAGACAGTCAATGTTCCTCTTCAAAATGTATTTGTGACACATGTTTTAACACAAAGAAGATAGCCACTTTGGTAGTGTATTGATATCCTGCAGTTTTTCTTTTTTCTATTAGAAATTAGCTTGTTGTGTACTTAAATGACACTAAGAATTTGTCTATGATTGAAACTACTTTATTGTCTTTGATGATTCTTTTATTGGAAGTGACTGTTAAAGAAACATCAAATTATTAGGACTTGGGAGAATTTGAGAATTTCATTCCTTCGGTCAGAAAACTGAATTGAAATTATTAGAAAAGGAAACTGCTTATTGCAGCTCTTTTGGCTGGCACTGGTGCTTTGCATGAAAATTATCAGTGGTCTCGCTTGCTTCTGGGGAATGATGAGCAAAGTGAAGTGTTGGATGATTTAAATGATTAAAATGGTCTGTATTTGTGAGTCTGTATTTTACAACACAAGGTGCAAAATATGTTTTACACTACTAATAATTAATTAATAATAGACCTCATCAATAAATTGTACTGCACTTGCATCCTTAGTTTGTTTTTGTAATTTCATTGGTTGGTAGTTGGTTTCCTTTCTTCTGAATATTGTTATCTTGTGTTGAGAAATTTCATATAGCTAACCTGTTTAATATAATGTTATCATATTTTTAGTCGATGGGAGATTTCTCAACAATCTTGTGGTTTGCGGTTACCTAAAAGATGCTTTACTCCTTTTTTGCAGGGTCATGAAGGAAAGTTCTCCGTTTATGTTCATGCATCCAAGACAAAACCAGTTCATGTGAGCCGATATTTTGTCAATCGGGATGTACGCAGTGATCAGGTATTTTCTTGTTATTATTCAGTTTACTATGATTATTAATTGTGCTGTCTTAATTAAATGTTTATATATATATATATATATATCGACAGGCTGTTGTTTTAGGCTTTTAATTTAGGCTTTTGTTTAAAGAAAAAAACGGGTTCTTTTAATCAAAGGATGTGTTTAAAAATGTCACAATAATTGTGTAAGCAGATACCTTAATGTTCTATTGTACACTTTCATTTCTGTTAAATTTGAGATAAAGTATTTGTTTTCTTCGGTAGATAAGATGAGAATTTAACAAGTCCAGTTTGACTTTTAACTCTCTGAGTTTATTTTATTTATACAATGTTGTATCCACTTAAAATTAATTGGTATTTTCTTGAAATAATTCTGAATGTTTTTTTTGGGTGCCGGTGAATGTGTTTTTAAATTCAACTGTTTATGTTTTATTTATAGCAATATTGATAGCAAGTGTATTTGCCTGTTGTTTTCCAATAGTCTGCGGTTCTTTTAATCAGAAGTCTTGTGGCAGGTGATTTGGGGAAAAATTTCTATGGTTGATGCAGAGAGACGGCTATTGGCAAATGCCCTTCAAGATCCTGATAACCAGCAATTTGTTCTACTGTCTGATAGGTAAACTGTTAATATGTTATGAGTTTCTTACTGATTAATTAGTTCAAGACTTTAACATATTTTTAGTTCGTATAAATATGATTTCATTTGGTTTTTGTCCTTAATTTTATTTCCGTTGGTTTGAGTCCTCCTAAATTTTTATTCTTTTGAAAATTGTCTGTCACTACTTAGTGGTGACATGACATATGTCTACTCATGTCATAATAGCTCCATTTTGAGCTGGCATGGCTTGATGCATGCAATGTTTTCCCTTAATAATTAAAAATTTACAGGGACTACAATTAAAAAATAAATAAAAATAGGGGACTAAAACCACTTTAAATTATTTTTTTAAGGATAAAAAATATATTTTACTCTTTAGTTTGTATAGGTTTTATCAATTCCTGATTTGTATATATTGTTTTTGCAGCTGTGTGCCTCTATATCATTTTGACTATATTTACAACTATCTGATGTATACAAATATCAGCTTTGTTGACTGGTATGACAAGCTTTGTCCACAGGCTTCTTATTGAGATAATAACCATTCTTTTTCTATACTTTCCGCTGTCTATTTGACATTCTTTACTAATGTGAACTTTTCCTTTCTCTTATTAGCTTTAAGGATCCCGGTCCTCACGGCAATGGCAGGTATTCAGATCGCATGCTACCTGAAGTAGAGGTGAAGGACTTTAGAAAGGGTGCACAGGTATATTCTTGCTAAAGTCTAGTTGGAGCTTGGAAGTCAACATTTTTAAAATAGAAATATTGCCTATTGATGTTCGGTAAATTTGTAATTTGAACAAAGTATTTTGGCTACATTATTTAACATTGCACTTTTCACAAGATACCAACTGGATAATTGGAAGTTGCCATTGTTTCATACCCTTGTGTGATATGTATCAATAGGCTATACTTAACACGCTACAGAATTGAGTTTTGTCATAGAAACTTGGTGACATTGTCAATAACAAGAATAATACTTTAATCTTCCGTGGAAGTTCCTTCTATATCTATGGTCATCCCATCAGTGTCCTATTGTCATTCAATATTGCCACACACCTATTCCTTTAGGATTTTGTTCACTCATATTCTGAGTCTTTGGTATATGCAACCCATTTATGTCTCTGTCTCATTTTTATCTTCCCCTGCAGTGGTTTGCTATGAAGCGGCAGCATGCAATTATAGTCATGGCTGATAGCCTGTATTATTCAAAATTCCGGTCTTACTGCCAGGTGAAGTAGTTTTCTTGTCGTTGGGATTAATATCTAGACCAGATGTTTTTAATAGTTTAATTTATCCCCCATAAGTGTTAGTTTATTTAACCATAAACCGCAAGCAAGTTTAGTATTTTTCAAGGTTCAATATGCTCAGTTTCTGATTGTGTATGTTTTGCTTATCCTTAATCATATTTTTTTAAGCAATACATGGATGTTGCATTTTGTTTAATAATTTTTCTCCAAAATAAGTAAGACGTTAGAGCAAGCATTTGCTTTGTACAATCCTCTTTTTTTGCATTGAAAAAAGAAAAATATTTGTGCACTGTAGATTGCATGGCTATGGTGTTTATGCCCCTGCACTTCAGGTATGGATGCCGCAAAAAATTCTGAAAGAATGGCAATGTGGAATGCTAAAAAGCGTTAGCAACTTTGATATTTTTGGTCTTATCTTGTATGCGGGTGTTGCATTTGTGATTAAGGTGATTGGACCATATATGTTCTAATAATTTAAAATTTCAAATCCCATAAATGTACTGCTGTGTAAACTAGAAAAGAAACACCTTATTGACCTTGGGAGCATAGAGGTGATATGGAAATGATATATATCTATCAACGTTCATTGTTGAATGTAGTAACCTGAGCTCTAATACCATATTAGAGAGTGAATATAAAGCCTAAGTTAAACGGGTTTTGAAGGTGAAATTTGCATATTATAATTTGATCTTATATCTTGTTGATGTTAGATTTTCAACACATGTTTTGTACCAATGTTAAACCCTAAACACCATTTACTCCTAAAAGGGGAAGGCTTTAATAAAGGGGTGGATATGAAGGAGGACGGGTAGGACATCCTGTTTGCTTCACAAGGGAGGGGAGGAGAAATAAACAAATTTAGTATTGTATACTACGAATTCAGTATTGATGTTGATTTTTTTTATTGTTCCAGCCTGGTTTGGAGGGCCGGAATTGCATTGCTGATGAGCATTACTTGCCGACCTTCTTCCAGGTGAGAGTTTGAATGGTAATAGAGTTCTTTTATTTTATCATTTTCATTCTTAAGCTAACTTGCTTCTGTCTTTGATTTTCTTGGGTTTTAGATGGTTGATCCCGGTGGAATTGCAAACTGGTCACTTACTCATGTTGACTGGTCTGAGAGAAAATGGCACCCAAAGTCCTATAGGGCTCAGGATGTCACTTCTGAGCTTTTGAAGAATATCACGGTATAGTTAGGCTAAAACTCTAAATTTTACAACAATACATATTCATTCTTTTCTCCGAGCAACTATGTAGACGAGAAAGGGATAGCCTTGTGGAGGGTAAACCCCTAGCATCAACATCACTTCCCAGTCTTGATCTGTTTGGATATCTAAGTATGGGTTGAATGGAATGGAATACCATATGGCAGTGTTTAGATATTTTACGATGAAATTGAAGTTTTGTTTTCTTCATGGTTTGGATGGTGAGTAGAATAAGAAGATTGGTAAAAATTATTCGTTAACCTCAAATTGGGAAAAAAAAAATATAGATAAATTGGATGAGATGGGATGGAATAGATTTCATCCTAATTGACATTATCCATGTTACGGAAATTCTAAAACTTGAATGAAAACTGAATTTAAATGGTCATGTATAGGAAAATTTAAAATGAAGTTCCTTAAGTTGTGAGATAGGTCAAAGTGGTCTCTATGGTTAATTTGTATCGACAATTCTCTCCCCTGTCTCCCTCTCTTCTAAGTTATGGTAAACCACACCATTAGACTTTTAAGGGAAAGTAAAGTAAAAAAAAAAAAAAACAGAAATAAGGGGGTGCGGTTCCCCTGTCTACAGTAGTATTTTTTTTTTTTTTTTAGCAAGTATGCTGCAACTGTTAATCTACTTCAACTTAGCATTGTCTGTTTTATTTGTTTTCAAATTTAGTTCATGGATATTAACAATAGTTGTTACTTTTGCAGTCCATCGATGTAAGCGTGCACGTAACCAGTGATGAGAAGGTATGGTAGATGAGAGCTTTACTGATCTGTTTTATTAAAACCATCTTGATGAATTATTGTGTTTCCGCAGAGAGAAGTGCAAAGCTGGCCTTGCTTATGGAACGGGATTCAGAAGCCATGTTACCTATTTGCTAGGAAGTTCACTCCTGAAACGCTAGATAATTTGTTGCATCTATTTTCCAATTATTCAGCACCTTGAGCTTGCTATTTTGATCTATTCTTTGGTCGAAAAAAGTTGTTCTTTCGGCCCCCATCTTGGTTTCTCATATGACATGAGACTTGTAAATTGCAGCATTATTGAGGCTTGATCGCCTGCCAGCCACATATATTGAGTGCAAGGTGAACTGGCCATGGAGTTCGGTGGCTGAACATGAACAGAAGAGGAGACTAACGATTCAGTGTTCCTTTCTTTGGGATTTGGGATGGATGGATGGCTTATTTTTTTCCTTCCATTTCCGTTATACTTTCGTGATAGATTTTGGAGGAATCGTATCAACTCATTATGGTTGTTCATCTCTGTAAAACATGCCACTTGTTTAGTTGAAAACACGACGCCTAACTGTTCATTCAGAAATTAATTTGTCCATTCTTATGCCTATCTCTATGATGCAATTTCGCTTGCTTTATTTTTTTCTTTCAGCTGTAAGTCACGTTAGTATTGAGCCTTTTATAATATTTGAATTTGAAATTTACCTTGAAGAAGTGTGTAACAGATAAAAACAAAATACGATAACGGAAAGTAATTCTCTGCTGTAGTATTATCCTGTAGTATTATTAAAACTCAGAAAATACTCATGGTGGTAAGAGAATTACAGAGAAAAATCAACACGTATGAATGAAAATGCCAAAGAGAAAAAAGTTCAGAGAGAAAAGGTCCAGAGAGAGAAAAATGAGAAACCAATCGTTACCTCCCTTTTCTCTCTCCCCACAACAAACAATTTATACTAAACTCTTGACCAATCAAAATCCCTCAACCTAGAATTAGTTATTTTAATTCTTGTGCTTTTCCTGCCTCCATGATCTGCCAGGTATCCTTGCTGCATAACATCAGTATTTGACGCTTTTACCCCTCTGTTATGAAGTTGTTGGTTATCAGTCTCATTGACACTTGTTATAGTTCTTCCCCCATTAAAATGAACCTTGTCCTCAAGGTTAAATACTGGAAAAGCCTGCTGCAAATTATCGTGATCTTCCCATGTAGCAGCAGATACATCTAATCCTTCCCACTGAACCAGATGTTGCTGAATCTGCTCTTGGCCTCTCATTATCACCCGAGATTGCAGAATGGAGACAGGTTGAATGACAGGGAATAATTCATTGTGAATAAGCAATGGAATATAAGGTTGCGAATGATCTCCCTTACAAAGCTTTAACTGAGAACAATGAAAGACCGGATGAATTCGGTTTCCTTGGGGCAACAACAGCTTGTAAGCAACCTGTCCAATTCTCTCGATTACTGGAAAAGGACCAAAATATCGTAAACTCAGTTTCTGGTTTTTCCTTAGAGCAACCGAATGCTGCCGATAGGGTTGCAATTTCACCAAAACCATATCACCAATGTTCAACTCAAAGAATCGCCTCTTCTTGTCAGCGTATTTTTTCATGTACTGTTGAGCCTTATGCAAGTTAATTTTTAATCGGTTCAGAGTCAAATCTCGCTGCACTAGCTGTTCTTGGACTAAAATAGGATCGTGGCTATCCAGTTTGTATTTAGTCAATGTAGGAGGGTCTCTACCATAAACAATTTTAAAAGGGGTCATGCCACTACTGTGGTAGTAGCAAGTATTATACCAATACTCAGCCCAAGGTAATAGCTTTGACCACGCTTTAGGAGAATCATAAGTAAAGCATCTCAAATACATTTCCAAACACTTGTTTAAGGATTCAGATTGCCCATCGGATTGTGGGTGGTATGCAGTGGTCATATTCAAGGACGTACCACTCAATTTGAATAGTTGCTGCCATAGTTGACTAGTGAAGATCCGATCCCTGTCAGACACGATTGATTTCGGCATGCCATGTAACTTAACCACATTTGTCATGAAAATTTCAGCTACTGAGTTACTGGTATAGTCCGACTTCAAGGGAGAAAAATGGGCATACTTTGACAGTCTATCAATGACCACCAGAATTACAGTAAAGCCATTAGAATTAGGAAGACCAGTAATGAAATCCATTGCTAGATCTTCCCAAATCTGATCCGGAATTGGAAGTGGTTGTAATAACCCAGCAGGAAGCGTATTAGCCACCTTGGCCTATTGACATATCAAACAGGTTTGCACAAACTCCTTAATATCCTTGTGCATTCCTTTCCAATAAAATTGAGCTGCTATTCGTGCCAAAGTTCTGGTAAAACCCGCATGGCCGCCTATCAACGAACTATGGAACTCGTATAAAATTCGCTTAACCAATTCATGTGCAGCAGGAATAACCAACCTGCCCTTCCAATACAGCAACTGATCATGCACTGAATAGTGGGGGTCTGGAGGTTTGTTAAGAAGACATGCATCCATAATAGCCTTTAATGGTCTGTCTTGTGAAACAGTGGCTCTTAACTGTGGTAGAATATGAAACGCAGGCTGAGACCAAGCTGCATAAAAAGATCGGGATAAGGAATCAGCTGCAAGATTGTCCTTTCCCGGCTTATATTCGATGTGGAAATCATATCCTAACAATTTAGGCAACCACTTCTGTTGCTCGGGTGTCTGAATTGTTTGGTCAGTTAAACTTTTCAAACTCTTTTGATCGGTTCGAATCACAAATTTATGGCCCAGTAAATAATGTCGAAACTTTGCAATGGCGGCTGTGATAGCATAAAATTCCCTAGCATAGGCGGATTGCTTTTGCATTGTGGCATTGAATTTCTTGGAGAAAAAAGCAATAGGATGCGAATCCTGACTAAGGACAGCACCAATGCCCAGGCCCGAGGCATCGGTTTCTAACACGAAGGGTTTAGAGAAGTCTGGTAAGGATAGTACTTGTGCTTGAGTAATTGTCGTTCGCAACCTCTCCAAAGCTAATGTAGCCGCATCATTCCAAGTAAAACTACCTTTCTTTAATAAATTTGTTAAGGGTTGAGTAATCACTGCATATCCTTTAATAAATCTGCGGTAGTAACCCGTAAGACCCAAGAAGCCTCTCAATTGTTTCAGATTTTTTGGACATGGCCACTGTAAGACAGCCTGCACCTTATCCTGATTCATTGCCACACCTTGGGCGGAAACGGTATGGCCAAGATAATCCACTTGCTGCAACCCAAAAGAACACTTAGAGAACTTGGCAAATAGGTGATGCTGCTGCAATTTTTGCAACACTACTTCAAGGTGTTGTAAATGAGCGGGCCAGGTAGGACTGAAAACTAAGATATCATCAAAAAATACAAGCACAAATTTCCTCAACATACCCTGGAAAATGTCATTCATTAAACTTTGAAATGTGGTCGGTGCATTGGTGAGACCAAACGGCATCACAACCCATTCATAGTGGCCTTGATGGGTGCGAAAAGCGGTCTTAAATCGATCCTCTTCATTCACTAATATCTCGGTGATAGCCGAACGGAGATCCAATTTCGAAAAGAAGTGGGCCCCATGTAGCTCATCAAGTAACTCGTCTACAAGTGGGAATGTGAAAACTATCTTTAATAGTTATAGCATTCAAGGCTCTATAATCAGTACAAAACCTCCAAGTGCCATCTTTCTTCTTGACAAGGATTATTGGAGACGAAAAAGGACTAGTACTAGGTACAATAATTCCTTCATTCAACATTTCCTGAACCATAATCTCAATTTGGTGTTTTTGGCTGTGAGGATACCTGTAGGGGCGAACCTTCACCGGGGCGGAACCGGGTAGCAAGGGAATAGAATGATTGTGGGACCGATTAGGAGGTAATCCAGAAAGCACCGAGAATACCACTCTATATTTATTCAACACTTCTGCCACTGCTGGTTCAATTGTAGGAGGTAACACCAACCCTTGATCCGAAGAATAGTCTAGCTGCTGAAATTGCAGTGTGAATAATTCTTCTATAGCATGCGTTTGGTGCATTCTTCTCAGGTGATGGAACTGAGCGGCCAGTGGTAAGGATGGATGATCTCCATGCAATGTGACGAATTGATTGCCCACGTAAAACTTAAGTGTAAGTTTACTGTAATCAGAAATATGGGGTCCAATCGTGGCTAACCACGCAGCTCCCAACACTAAGTCAGCGCCAGTAACAGGTAAGAGATACACAGGCAATTTCAAGAGGTGACCTTGAATCGTAACCTCCAATTCGCTTACCTTCCCTTCAGCAACTAATGCACTACCATTGTCGACCAACACTTGAAAATTAGGAATTGGCTCAATAGGCAACTTTAAACAATGAGCCAAACGGGGTTGCAAAAAATTATCACTGGAACCACTATCCACTAAAACCTGCACTGTCATGCCATTGATAGAACCCGTAAACTTTAGAGTACCAAAGCCAGAGGATCCTTTTAAGGCATTATACGATAGATGATGTTCTTGGGCCAATTGCAATACTAGCGGTTGCTCGCTATCTGGAGGCTCAAGTTGTAACTCGGCATTATCCTCATCCTGCCATTGGAGAAGTAAATATTGTTTGTTGGGACATTTATGAGTAGGGGAAAACTTGTCCTCACAAGTATAACAAAGACCCTTTTCTCGCCTAAGCTGCATCTCGGCAGGGGTCATTCTTTTTATATTGGAATTTTTCAAGGTTATGGAACCAGACTGTAGAGGGGGATTAGATAGGAGTGGAGGGAGGCTAGTGGATTTTAGGGTCTGATTGATAGGAAAGGAAGTGTTTGCAGCTGGTGTTTTGGAAGCTGGAAAATTATGGTACGGTTTGGATTTGGCAACATACTTCTCCTCATATAACTTTGCCAAGGAGACAGCTCGAATCAATGTAACAGGTGATTGAGCAATGACATCTCTTCTAATATCAGGTTTTAATCCTCCCACAAAACAATCTAATAAGGCCTCCGACGATATACCTTGAACTCTATTAGCTAAAGCAGTGAATTGAACATAATAGTCATGCACAAAACCTGTTTGTGTAAGTTTGAATAAATGGGAACGTGGACACTCATATGATGATAGGCCAAACTCCATTTCTAACGCTCGAGTAAAAGCAACCCACGAGTGGAAGGAATCATGACGCGTCATCATCTGATACCAAGGAACGACGTCTTTGTCGAAATGAATGGCAGCAATGGTGAGTCGATGGTCATCCGGTGTATTGTAATAGGAGAAAAACTGTTCTGCTTTGAATATCCACTGCAGCACCTCCGACCCATCGAAACGCGGAAAGTCCAGCTTCACGTTACGCACTTGAAATGGTGGCGACACAGTGGAATGTTTGTGCTCTTGCTCCAGATTCTGCTTCAAGAGGCTATCTACCGCAGCTTCTAACGTTTCGAATCGCATGGCATTTTCTTTATCCTTTGTCTCCATGAATTCTAGAATCCGTTTCACCTCCGTTGTGAGTTCTTTCAGGCGGGTATTCTCAGCCATCTCAATGAAAGCACCAATTTGTAACAGATGAAAACAAAATACGATAACGTAAAGTAATTCTCTGCAGCAGTATTATTAAAACTCAGAAAATACTCATGGTGGTAAGAGAATTACAGAGAAAGATCAACACGTATGAATGAAAATGCCAAAGAGAAAAAAGTTCAGAGAAAAAAGGTCCAGAGAGAAAAAAATGAGAAACCAATCGTTACCCCCCTTTTCTCTCTCCCCACAACAAACAATTTATACTAAACTCTTGACCAATCAAAATCCCTCAACCTAGAATTAGTTATTTTAATTCTTGTGCTTTTCCTGCCTCCATGATCTGCCAGGTATCCTTGCTGCATAACATCAGTATTTGACGCTTTTACCCCTCTATTATGAAGATGTTGGTTATCAGTCTCATTGACACTTGTTTTGTAATCATAATACTGGAATAATCCTGCACTGCTATATTTGGTTGAACGTATCGATTTTTGAATCAGCGAACAAAACAGACGATCACAATTTGTGACGAGGTTAGCAAAACTTGGAACGTTTTTTCCCACCTTTAATAATTGATTACAATGGTAAATTAATATAATTTTTATAGTGAAATTTATCAACTTTTTGGGAATCTGCTGTACCGAAAAAGGAAGCATTGGGATTCTTGTGACTCGCAGCTGTGCGAACGATATACTTCTTCCGGAATTCATGTACGCTGATTATATTTATATATATATATATATATATATTGTTTTATTTATTATTTAAGGTTTATTAAAAAAATATTAAAATAAACTTTTATTAATTACATTGGAAAAAAGATAACAGTCAATTTAAAAAAAAAAATCAAGGAGGAAGAGAGGTAAGATGCCTCAATTCCATCACAAAGTGAAAATTTCAAATAGTGGAGATATTTTAATAACTCAGTTTTAAATTTGTATATTATTACTTATCTATCTTATTTCATTTTTTATCCATCCATCATTAAAAAAAATATTTTAAGATTATCTATTAAATATTTGTAAAAATTAGTTGGAAAAAAATCTTTTCTCAACTCTCTAAAAGATATTTAATGAAACATCAAATATATATATTTGGTAGGCATGTACGTATATAAATATTGAAATGCAAGATTTATTATACAAACATGGGTTTTTGGCTAGTCATTGAAAATAAGATTATATGGGTTTATGATTCAAACTTTTGTTTTCTCTCTTACTGCAGGGAATCCAATGTGTGCATGTGGAGGCACCCTGTTTCGGCCAAAATGAGTACAATAGCTACTTCTTCCGCCTCTCCTTCTGTTTAACTAACCTCAAATAATGATTCCCCTTCCATTTCATAAACTTGTAAAATCCACTTCTGAATTTGCCTTCTACAACACATTATATTATTTTTAGTATAGAATGGAGCTTTATAATGTTCATGTATCCCAAAGCAACAATATTAAACCTGCATGCACGATTAAGCAACGTGAAAAAAGACACTTAAAAACGTATGCAGGAAAGCCAGGTAGAATGAGAAATTTAAGCAATCTTCGGAAATCAAAATATACAGTTCATGCGTCACCCATTACTCGATAGCAATTGAAACATGGTACATTTGAAACAAAGCACAATGAATATATAGCTTTTGTAGCTCTTTGCAGAGTCTGACATGAGAGTGTAAAGGAAGCAAACATGAGTCAGGATGACCATAAGAGATTGTCAAAATAGACTTAGTACAGTGATTCAATGCGAAAGGTATGAAAAAGAGTGTCAAAATAAGTTTAGTAGAGTGACTCTGAAAGGTCTGAAAATAGGTCATATAGACAGAAAAACTTATAACTTAAATAGAATAAAACAAATTTTGGTGCAATCTATATAAACTAAACCTAAATGAATTTAAGCAGACTAGTTCTAGGCTTATGCACTAATCAGTCTTATAAAATAATTATTATTTTACCAATAAAATAAAAGTAATATTATTTTATTAGAAGATAGATGTATAATAAATTAATTTGATAATATATTTTGTTTTATATATATATATATATATAATTTAAAAAGAATAATAAACTCTAGCGTAATCTTCATTGATCATATTCTTTCTTTTATTGCAATCATGTTTATTTTTAAGGATTAATAATTTAAAACGACATATTGTTAAATATAACGTATTTTCAAAGTATTATAACGTTAGAATTATGCCGGATAATAAGATTAACTTATTGAAGTAATGTAAATTTGACTTTAAAATTTATCGAGATGCTCTTACTATAGATACATTATTAAACATGGTCTTCAATTTAATTATGTTGAGTAATTTAATTATGTTGAGTACGATAGAGTTTAGGAGATAAATAAAGTTTTGAATCCTATTTTTAAACCAGGAAACACTTTTATTTTATAACGTGTATTTAATAAAAAAGAAAAAGTTAAAAATGTGTTATCTAATATTTTTGGCAGGATATTTTAAACCAATTATTAAAATACACTTCAATTATAGATATTTATAACATGCATTTAACAGAAAAGAAAAAGTTAAAATATGTGTTATCTACTATTTTTGGTAAATATGTTTGACTTTTTAACTTATGAACAATTATAACTCCTTAAGACTACTTGTAACAGTTCATTTTTATGATTTTATATATTTGATTTTATTTTATCTAAATAGGTCATAAGTTAATTTTAAATAAACAAATAAATAATATTTTTTAAGCATATGCAGGCAAGCCATCCCTGCTCACATCTACTCTCTCTACCTTCATGCAAGATACTTGAAAGCAACCTACCTTCACCTTCAATCACCACATACACACTCTCACTCACCTTATTTATTAGCGTCTGTAATATTGAGGTTCATTGAAGCCTATTTATAATCACAATATGTGAAAATCAAAGGATGGCATTGGCATTCTCAATACCATGAGATAATTACAACTGGACACATGTTAAAATTGAAAAGTAAATAACAAGTGGTTCCCATAGAAATTTTAGCAACTTGCAAAACACATTCTTATGGATTTTTCATGCTGCTCCTTATCCAAAACCATTCTTATGGAATCAAGCAAAAGTTGACTTAGCTACTTGTCTCCTAAAACTGTGTACGATGATTAATGTACTGCGTGGGAATAGAATATAACAACGTAGGCATGCAACCCATTTCTGATTTGCCATTGTCAATGGGAATTTGTTCTCAGAGATTTAGCTGATTGGAAAAAGAGGTTCTGATTACATTCTGACTTTATCAATATATGGCCATGAGATTAACATTTCTTTGATCCTAGTTCTCTTGTGAACGTGTCATTCCCATGCACTGTATGAGTCAAAGCACAACACGGATTCCCATTTTCGAGAGAAAGGCTATCATCATTATTGAACTAAATAAGATTTCTAGAAACAGGATTTGATAGGATTTTTTAATTATATAATATCACCCAATCATAAATTTGTATGCTTTTTTATAATAATCATCTTGAAATTAACTAAAAATGATTTTTTGTTTTGTAAAATCAATAAATCAGTTATGTATACATGAATTTATTTCAATCAGGAACAAATTACAAAACTAACAGATTCCACGAACATAACCATTTTGTATGCTGCCAAGCAATGTGGAAAAGAACCTCTTGTCCAGTTGTTAACTAATGATCTGTTCCAAAACCAGATAATGTAGTTCATGTATCATGCAATGCAAACACGATACACTGCTACAGATATGCCTTTCAACGTCGGTTATATAAGGCTTTCAACGTCGGTTATACAACCGACGTTGTATCAGGCGACGTTAAAAGTATACACTTTCAACGTCGGGTATAGATAACCGACGTTGAAAGTTTAGGCTTTCAACGTCGGTTATTAATACCCGACGTTGAAAGTGTACACTCGTCGCTCAAGCGAGTACACTCGTCGCTCAAGCGAGTACACTCGTCGCTCAAGCGAAATGGAACCCGAGAGTCCCCTTTGTTTGAAGCTTTCGTCGCTTAAGCGAGTACACTCGTCGCTCAAGCGAGATGGGACCCAAGAGTCCCTTTTGTTTGAAGCTTTCGTCGCTCAAGCGAGTACACTCGTCGCTCAAGCGAGTACGTGTTTACTACGTCGGTTATGGTATGAACCGACGTAGAAAGTCTATTTTTTTTTTAAATGGACGCCTTGTTTATACAGTGGTACCCAATGTTTGTATATATACATACCTGCAAATTTGAATACAACCCAGGCAGACAATGTACAAGATATAAACAATTGAATGTGCATCCAAAAATAAAATTGTATCCAAAATTATAGTGTATCCAACTACTTATCTACCAAATACACTAACTACTAATCTAACTAATAAACTAACTAGTAAACTAACTAGTAAAGTAACTAAACTAACTACTAAACTAACTACTAAACTAACTACTAAACTAACTACTAAATTAACTACTAAACTAACTACTAAACTAACTACTAAATTAATAACTAAACTTGCCTACTTCTAACTTTAACAAACTTATCGGCCCATGTGTTTCTAATATCGTCAATGGTCTCTATGGGCAATGCTTCCTCGTCTCGAAAATACCTGTTACAAGAAAAAGATAATTTAACAGAGTATCCAATGACACAATACTCGGGTCTTTTATTGAATACTAAATTTAAGCAAACCCGATTCCATGTATCCTCAGTCTTGCTAACAACAATCAGCCACATCCAAGGCATAACATAATATCCGCACTCATAAGATCCTGGTTGCCTATTACACTACAAAAAATAATATATTAATTTGACATATAAAATGAATGATATAATACATAAATATAAAATGACTTACATTAACAAAAATCCAATCTGGAGTCGTGTTTTTGCTTGTGTGTACTCCATCAATTGTATTGCAAACCTTAAATGCACTGTGCAATACAAGATATAATGAAACAATTAAGTAACAAAACAATTAATAATTGTTTAAATTATTATAAGAATGTGTACCTGTTTACAATGTTTTTAAGATCTCGCATCGGTTTCTTGCCCAAAGGAGCGTAACCAAGCCACAACATTCTCGCTTTGGGCAAACAACCAACAACTGCCAATGATTTCTGCTTACATTACAAAAAGTTAGGATAATACAATACACTATAAAATTTAATGCGAATAATTTCATACGCTTAAATACTTACCGATGGTGGTAAGCACCCAAGTAAACTTTCTTCCTTGACTTCATCATCCAATTTTGGATGTATATTTGAACTTCTTCTCTCTTGTTTCCTGATTTTTGTATGGATTGGGGCTCAAAAAATCCATACACATCTTGGGTGCGTTGTTCCTCCGACAATTCATTCATCATCCTAAAGTAGCCAGTTCAATGTACATTAAATATGACGATAACTTCAAATAACATAATTAGTAAATAAAAATAAATACTTACATTGTCCAAAATTGTAACACCGCTATGTTTAGACACCGATTGCCAACTGCTATCTCCACAAAGATCGGTGTGGTCAATGTAAAGGGGAAAGTTCTTATTGTCTACCCCTAACTTATCAACATCCCACTTCACTTGAAAAGATTGAATATACAACTGTGGGACAACAGATAGTAGTTGAAAAATTGGATTTTCTGGGACATCTACTTCCTTACCTTTACTAGTATGGGAAGTAGGAACCAGCTTAGGCAACCGGGGTGGCTTCCGAACATCCTACATAAAATAACATTGACTTGAGAAATAATAAAAAACAAGTACCGTACTACATATGATAATTAACGTAAAGTATATGCAAACCTTTTTCAAAATAGGCCCGATTAGATGTCTAGGCCATGCAATGAAGGTCCGGAGGGCCTCGTCCCACCGTCATCACCTCGTCTCGTGGGCACAGGTACAAGAGCATAAGCATCTCGAACCTCTTCAATGACCACTTTGGCCAAGTTAGGTGCTAAAGGCACACTATGAATTGTAGAGGCCCCTCTTCAATTGAACCAACCGCCACCAATCGTGGTTCAGATCCATCCTCATCAACATAAAATTCACACCGACTCGATTACACAAAAATAAGACATTAATTATTTAATATGCACATGAATTTTTGTCATTAAGATATCATCCACACATACCTGAGTGGTCGATGTCCGCAACAACAACAACAACCTCCCGATTAGTAGCAGGAAGGTCTTGATCGCCAGTATTTGGCTCAAGACAACTACCCTTAGTGCTAACTCGTGCGCAGATGGAGGAGGAACATCCATAGGTGGGTGGGTAGGCTGTGTGACACCTATGGATGCTAGACTTGAACCAAATACACGCATCATCTCCTCCTCGAACTCGTGCGGTAATGGCCGGTGTCGCGCGTCGCCGTCGCCTCTTCAACCATCGCCGGTCTCGCCTTCGCCGTTAGACTCTCCTCCAATCTGGCCATCTCCCGCCGGCTCAATGATGTGGTGTGGGTATGGTCTCGATGATGGAGCTCCAAAATATGCTCGAATACCCACACCAGCTCCAACAAGCACGAACACGCCCTGGGTGTTCTGGGCGTCCAATAGCAGTAGTTAATATATCTTCACGACCACGGGAACGAATGTTCCCTATGTATACCGCTCCTCTAAAGAATCCTACAATTGAGCATTATATATTGTAAAAAAAATTGATGAATGACAAAGCATGGTTAATGAGGTTGAAAGAAACTAATTTGACTTACAATCCGCTCAAGCAATCAAGCGGGCCTCCTCCGATGTCATTTCACCGGAGGGCTTTTGCCGAGCCCTCTTCCATTTTTCATGACGTTTTGGAGGAGATGGTGGGGAAATTTCTTCCTGGCTTACACCGAAGAGGCTAACTCAGCTTCTCGGAGTTTAGCCTTCTCCTTCATCATGCGTTGCGTCAACAAATCATACCCCCCACGAGACAGACAGTGGGGGCCACATTCAACTCTCCGAATCTCCTTTCCTTTTATTCGCTTCTCCTGCAACATAATATCATATTACAATGTGCTAAATTAATAAGACAATATGGAAACATACCAAAGTTTTTAAATAGTAACATACCTCCCATTGTGGACCAGTCCTACTCCTGACAAACTGCTTCCAAGTTTCCTCATCTATGCCATAAAGCTGACAAGGAGTTAATCCTTTGCTAATGGCTTGGTCATTAAAAATCCATTTTGAAGTCAATGTCGACTTGAATTGCCTCCACATTTTGGCAATAGATGACATGACTTTTCTCCTAACTTGTTCAGAGTTAACAATATCAAAGTGATTTTGCAAAAACAACAAAATAAATTAGAAACTCGATTTATCTCCAGTCACATGTTTTAATCGATTGAAACGAGATTTAATCGATTAAAATAGTTCTGATCGGTCATAACTGGATTCTGATCGATCATCCTGACCCTTTCAGAGATTTTAATCGATTGAAATGTGTTTTTAATCGATTGAAAAAATTCTAATCGCTCATAATTAAAATCTGATCGATCACATTTGATTCTGATCGGTCATATTTGTATTCTGATCGGTCATAATGAGTTCAGAAGGGTTTTCAACGTCGGGTGAGGGCATAACCGACGTCGAAAGCCTACTTTTCCACGTCGTGCATGCTAAAACGACGTAGAATGTGTCAAAATTCGACTTTCGACGTCGGTTGTTGACCAACCGACGTTGAAAGCATGTTCAACGTCGGCTAAGATGTAACCGACGTTAAATAGCGACGTTGAAAGTATATTTTCTAGTAGTGATACACTTACTGTTGTAAAAGCTCCAATGTTCTCTGAAACAGTCTTCTGCAATGTGTGAGAACACGTTTTCTGAAACGGTCTTTTGCAACGTTATTTAAAACAATCTTCTGCAACGTGTATGAGAACACGTTCTCTGAAACGGTCTTC